CCATTCACCAACACTTACCGAGTTTCATCGAGGATTTGTCAGTTTTTAGCATCATCTGACGTAGTCAGATGGGGCAGGGTTGTAGAAATCGCATGATTGTCCGTTCCGTCCGTCGGTCCGTCAACGAAGTTGGCATCAAATGCTTAACCGGCTCGAGTAGCGGTACAATATTCGGTGACTGAGTGGGGGATCGTGAAAAGGACCGGGATGATCAATTGGTGGTAAGGTCAAAGAGTCAAGATGTGTAAACAGAGGGGGAATATTCCCCTTAATTTAAGGTAATAGGAGGAATACACGAATTGCGCGCGGCAAATCTGTAACGGCTCGACTACTGCTCTTTAATATTCTGGGCGGTTATAGGTGATGCAGGAAACCATCACCATTTGGTCGATATCAGACATTTCGAAGGACGTGGCTAAGCGAACAGAGTGATAAACCTTTTGTTTCAGCGCGTGACTACCATTTTTTATCACTTTATTGAAAGACGGCATGAAATGTGCTTTCGCATCGTGACGTTGCGAAAGAGTAAGTGTTGATATCTTTGACGGCTCAAGAGGAGGGTTAAACATGGATCCTGAACCTGGCTCATGATTGTCAGCAGATGACTCATATTCATGGCCCCTCATAATCTAAAAAGCCAATAAACGATGGCATAGCAACGGCTAGCAGCACAGGATTACGGCTGCAAAGGTCTTGGATTGAATTCCCAGTCAGATTTTTATTATTTACCTGTTTCTGTATTTTTCTAGCTTTATCCATTTAATAGTTTTTTCCAAATTAACGCAATATTACATGATTATTTACAACAGATTTTATACAACAAAAATTTTTACAAATTTTTTTTTAATAAGGTGAGGGTTAGGGTAACAACGCAACGCATAAAACAGGAAGTTTCTGGCAACGCGATTTGTATCACCAATGGATTTGAAAGGATAGCAGACTGCAGAAAGGATGCGAATATGATCGTGTACGCATCTGCGTATCTCATATCTGCGCCTAACAAAGGGTGGTCCTCACGCATCGACTGTAAAATTTTCGTTATAACCGTAGCAACAGACGTCAGATGAGCGCAGACGCTCTGCGGCTCTGTGTAATAATGCGAAGAGAAATGTAATATATGCTACAGAGTCGGACAACTGAAGCATAGAAATGTAAGTGAGTTTAGGAGATGGCAAGAAAAAGAACAACCAGTGATGGGTTGACAGAACTGTCATGAACGTCTTTCATTTTGAACAACGTGCTTCTGAAAGAAAGCTTTCGCCTTAATCGCAGCAGTGAAAGGAAATATATAGAGAGCATCTGGTTTGTCTCGTTTGTTATTTAAAACGCGTATGTTCTGCTCAATCTACTATTGGTATTGAACAGTCTGTCACATACCTGCAAGTCACCGTTGCGCTAGATGTCCTTCTGACATGTTTTAAGACACATGATAAATGGAATCACTGTATTGATGTGTATTGTGTGTAGGTGTATTGTACGTTTGCTTGACCGATTCAAGCATAACTATATTAGCCTGTCTAAGACGCTCTGGCGGTGTTTACTAATACTGCAGTCCTGATAAACGTTAATCATATCGCAGCTGATAGTTAATACGCAAACTAGTTTAGCGGAACTGAATAGGTGCGATTCGCGAGTAAGCGGGCCTGGTATAAAAAAGGTTGGGAGCACTAATGCGGTAAATGGATAGCATAGCTGTGTATTCTAGAGCGTGGCTTATGGACAGGCTGGCCAGTTCCCCATTTTCTGAAATTAACGGAAAACGTTTGAGTTGGCTATAAACCAATTATCACGTATAGGGGGGGGGGGGCTACAACACACACGCGCACGAGCACACACACACACATAGTCATGCACATCATACACACACCACCACACACACCACACACACACACACACACAACACACACACAGCCCACACACACACACACAATCACACACACTCACACCAGGGCGTCACACACACACACAGCCAAAAGCAACAATGACACCACACACAACACACACACAAACAAACACACACACACACACCACAGACACACACACACACATCCACACACACACACACACAACACACTAAATCAACACACACAACACACACAGCACAACGCACTAGCAGCAGCACACATCACAACCAACACAAAAAACACACACAGCACCAACAGACACAACACATACACACACACACACACAAACCACTACACACACACACACACACCACACACACACCAGTGGGTAGATGAGCTTTCGAAACTCGCTTCTATAATCCATAGTAACTGACGTAGAAATCGTCAAACCCTGCCAGCGGAAAGAAGGCGAGGTGTGTATCAAAGGCCGCAGATCATGAAAGGATATCTTCAACAACCCCGCAAGTCACGGCCCTCACATTGACCAAGAGGATGGATCACACGGTACGGCGTAGAATGAGCATACGACCTCTGTTACGTGATTTATTTTATTATATTATCAATGAACACAATTTGTCGTTATAGTACGCCTGATATTAAATATAGTATATAGTATATATATATATATATAATATATATATATTATATATATTATATATTTATTATATTTATTATATACCTAGTATAACTTTTATTATTATTATTATTATTATTATTATTATTCTTGATAATTGTATATTATTTATGTTATTTATACATTTCGCTAATCATTATTCTGACGTATACGTAGGTGACGTGGGATACGCTAGATGAGGATGAATTGTTTATACACCCCCCCCTTCGCCACGCACAGGATTAAGGAACTAATCAAGTATTAAAGCTACAGGTGAGCTTGCATTCGATGCATACGCTGTGCACGTTTGTTTTCTATGAGGGCACAGGTCATAATGAATACGTATAGCGGGTTATGCGTTTTTTTCTTTAGGCATTTGCAATAGTTGCAAACGTATATATATAAGTTTTATATTTGGGCCTCGTATAAGTTTTTTTTTTATCAAGCGCAGATTAATAATGCTTCAAGTAATTGGTGTCAAAAAAGAATAATTTGTTGTTTGCTGCGTAGAATGCACACTGCATGGCATCTCTGGCAATGTATTAAAACTCGTTGGCAGAATGCGTGAACTGTAGGTGGCGCCCCAGCTGAAACTGGAGGCGAAGCTGCTAAACTGCATCCTAGCGTTGCAGACGCGGCCGCATCGCGTCCCGGGACGAGGACGCTGAGAACTCCCAAGCGTACGGTCGTGCGCAGCGACCAGAACCTCCTGGCGGAGGATCATGCACAGCTACCTGCCGAGAGCACGTGGCGGCGCAGAAGCGTCTGGCGAGGAAGCTCGAGGAGGCATCGAGTTTGTCAGCGAGATTCCCAAGTCGGCATCCGGAAAGATTCTGAGGCGACAGCTCCGCGCGAGAAACAAGAAGCTGTCGCGTCTGTGAAGCGGTGATGTTGTTTGTACGGCGGCATCGGGAAGGAAATTCTTTTCCCGCGATACAATTCTTAGAAGCTAACAATAAGGCGAAAAGTTATATGAGGTTTGCAAAGTAAACTAATTACGTTTTATACGTGCACTTGTCTGTAATTTTCTCTGATGTAAAGATATTATCGTCGACGAAAGTATAGTTTTTCACTTACACTGTATTAATACTTTATTGTTTCACTATAAATTTTAACTTAGTGCAGTAGTTTCATGCAGTATTCGTTTACTCTTACATACACGTTAATTATGAAAATGGTAAAAAAATATTATTCAAATATAATAATTCAATTATATAAAAACATACTGGAAAATTTGTCATAGTTTATTTGTCATCTAAAGTGGAAATTAAATCATCGGCTATGAGAAGTGCATTTTGCATAATGGTAACAAAAAAGACTAGAGAGCTATAATATACGCAGGCTTATGTGAATGAGAAATCGTCTCTCATTTGTGTGCTCCTAATATAACAAAAACCAGGCAGCTAGATGGTTATAATCAAGAGCGTATTAATACGCTCTTGTTATAATATAAGTGCTGTTCCACGCCGTTGTAAAACTGTTTAACGTCTATGATGCCATGATGGCTCAAATGGATAGAAGTTACAGGTGTGTGCGTGTGTGTGAGCGCGTGTGTGCGTGCGTGTGTGTGAGCGCGTGTGTGCGTGCGTGTGTGTGAGCGCGTGTGTAGGTCCGTGCGTGCGTGTGCGTGCGCGCTGCGCTCGTACCTGCGTGTGTGTGTGCGTGTGTGTGCGCGCGTGTGTGTGTGCGTGCGTGTGCGTGCGCTCGTACGTGCGTGTGTGAGCGTATGTGTGCGCGTGTGTGTATCCGTGCGAGCGCGTATGTGTGCGTGTGCGCGCGCGTCCGTGCGTCCGTGCGTACGTGCATGTGCGCGTGTGTGTGCACGCGTGTGTGTGTGCGCGCGTGTGCGAGAATCCGTGTTGTCTACAGTGGATACTAAATGCGCGTGTGATGTGCAGTACATGCAAAGAAGCCGCTTGGTCACATGACGTTCTCACGTGACCGCTGAAGCTGTGAATTTGTGTGTGTTGACGCTGGCGTGGCATTTTTAGAGCAGCCATTATCTGACAATGTTGTCTGTGATTTTATATTCACGGTTATTTCTGTTGCGCGCACACACGGAATTTGTGGGACAAATGATTTTGTAAGTATTAGTAGTATATAGTAGTAGTATGTAAAAGTTGTATCTAGATTTTCCATTCCATTAAGTTAGTTTGTATTAGTATTAGTTTGGAACAGCACAATCCTGAAGTAGTAACATTTTATATATGTGTATAATATAGGTTCTAGAATAACCACCTGACTATTACTATATATAGTCGAGTCCATTATGAGTCAGGGGATGCATTCCACACTGCAGCCGACATATTGCATTTCTTTACTCGCGCTAGAATGATCGTCAAGTCATAAATACCGGCGCTGTTATCTAGGAACTGTTTGTCTTCGGAGAGCCGAATGGCTTCACCGCATTCCGTAAACTGATGGAGGATGATGGCTCCTGCTTCTGCGCTCCCGTCAGGAGTAACTGCAGGGAACACACAGCCGTGTTGCTCTACTCCAGTGGAACCACGGGCCTGCCTAAAGGCGTCATGCTGACGACATTCAACCTCATAGCAGCCATGGAGGTCATGAAGTACGAAGCTTCGGTTGTATATGGGGGGAGTTGACAGAAAGGAGAGAGGAAGGAGTTGAGAAAACATGGGGCGCTACCCTTAATCGTCAGTGGCAACGCTTTTCTAACTCTGTGACATCCTCAAGTCTAGTTGAATATTACATTGTAAAGTCGAGTTGCCCGTCCGCCTAGGATAACACGTTCTAAAAGATAACGCTTAGTAACAAAGTGGTGCAAAATCGAAGATTTGTGTAGCGTACGCGTGTAAAAACGTGTGCAAACCGTGTTTAGCTTTGAACGACCAAACAACAACATCCGTGTGCAGGGTGTGGTTATATATCTCACGGATGCTTCAACTGGCAATAATGCATGAAATCTTTCAGCGCTACTACGGACGCTCTCACTCGACAGATGAGGGAGCCACCGTCGCAGACCGAGCTCGGTCTTCTGCCGTTCTATCACGCGTCAGGTTTCACGGCTACGCTGCTAAACTCCATGACCATGGGTTCAACGCTCGTCATCCTTTCCCGATTCCAACCAGAAGTATTTCTAGAGACCATTCAAAACTACAAGGTGTGTAATTTTTCATTTAAATACATTTGTATGTTGTTTAAAATGTAAGTTATTCCGTAAGTTACGTGTAAGTATGTGTATAAGTAGTTTTTATGTTTACCAAGCAAACCCAGTTGATTAATCAAACGAATGGCTGTTTTAAATATCGATTATTATTTAAGAATCTCAAGTTACAACTTGATATCATTATCCAGATAATCCTGGTAACTAACAATACACTTTCAACAATACAGTGTGTATTGTTGAGCACCTTCTAACAATACACTGTGTATTGTAGTAGGTACCTAACAACTGTGTATTTAAATTCAATTTCATTTTCAATAAATTCAATAAAATCAATCAAATAATTTCAATAAATTCAATAAAATCAATCAAATAATTTCAATAAATTCATTTAAATAAATGTCAATTTCAAGTTTACAAATCAAAAAGTAAACTAATTAAAAAAATAAAAAATAAAATAAAAGTGTATTGTTAGAAGGTGTTCAACAATAAACAGTGTATTGTTGAAAGCTCATAGTACCTACTACAATACACAGTGTATTGTTAAATAGGATTCAAACATACACAGTGTATTGTTGAAAGCTCGCTAACAATACAAGTGTATTGTCAAATGCCTAAACATACAACACACTGTGTATTGTTAGTTATCAGGATTATCTGCATTATCAGTTCGCTAATGTTTCTAAAGAAAGATTCTTTAAAAGGTTTATTATGCTTTGGTATTAAGGTGTTAATAGTTCAACATAAATCTTAAATAAATAATCATACATAATCAAAATATAAGCCTATTTCTCCGGCCTACTATGCACAAATCCTTGCTCACATATTTGGCAGCATACCAAGACTCGCCTCGAATCTTTTCGGCTTTCTAGCGCAAAATTCTAACCAATTCAGTTTCACATTCTATTCTGATTTAATGCACAGGATTAACAGGATCAGTTAGTGCCCCCGCTTGCAGTGTTCATTGGCAAAGCATCCACTGGTGACAAAATACGACATGTCTCACATCAGCTGATACTGTGTGGAGGAGGACCTCTCAGCAGGAGACTAGCAGAGACTCTGCTTAGCAGGTTAGGAGCAGGCTAAGCACTCCCTGTGCCAGGGTAAGTTTACCTGCCCTACTTCTCACCTGCTATTTTACCTGCTGTCGTAATTAATTATCTAATTGGGCTCGTATTTTCAGAAATCGTTATTAAAGTTATAACCAACCGTCGATCTGCATGCATGGTAAAATGGCATCAGTATTAACAATAAGATCATTTTTGACAATAAAATCAGTATTTACAAAAGAGCCATCGTCCTCACAGTAAGAAACGCATCGTGTAATAGTAGCCAGCATAATGTCCCAAATTAACATCAATGATCTTAATTAGTAAACACTGTTACCACTGTTGCATTTATTCTTGCTTGCACGTGTTTATCTGCGTAGTGGTCTGGGTATATATGGATGTATGTTACAATAATGTATATATGGGCATATATGTGTATGTATGTTTATATATATATATATATATAGAGAGAGAGAGGAGAGAGAGAGAGGAGAGAGAGAGAGAGAGAGAGAGCGAGAGAGAGAGAGAGAGAGAGAAGAGCGCGAGAGAGAAGAAGACGAGAGATGGAGAGAGAGAGAGAGAGAGAGAGAGAGAGAGAGCGGAGAGGGAGAGAGAGATAGATATAAGCAGAAGTAGATAGGGACTCCTATTCCCTATTATCTACTTCTGATATAAGTAAAAACACACGTACACTCGTGCAGATATAGATGCAAAAATATGCATATAAAAATATAATGAGGTGTTAATTTTTTGCGAGCTTTCAGGTACATATATCTTCGTCAGGCTTCACAACAATATAAATTCTGAGAATAGTATATATATATATATATATATATCATCTGTGCATGTATCCTTGTATGTGTGTATGTATGTATGTGTGCGTGTATCTACTATAGGTTACGGCATGACAGAGACAACACTTCTCACACACGTAATGATGGACATAAACAGCACGAAGTATGCCAGCGTCGGAAACCTGGTGGCCAATACAATGTGTAAAGTATGTACACGTAGCAACGGTCAACACCACACCACTGAACTATCCATTTATCTACCCATCCATCTATATCCATCCATCCATATCCATCCATCCATTCCCATCAATCCATTCATCATCATCCATCCATCCATCCAGTCTCATCCATCCACTCTATTATCTATCGTATCCATCCATCCATCCATCCATCCATCCATCCATCCAATCCATTCGTCAGCATCCATCCATCCATCCATCCATGCCATCCATCCATCCATCCATCCATCCATCCATCCATCCATCCATCCATCCATTCCATCCATCCAGGCATCCATCCAATCCATCCATCATCATCCATCCATCCATTCCATCCATCAAATCCATCCATCCATCCATCTATCCACCCAATGCCATCCAATCCAATTCTATCAATTTATCCATCTATCCAATCCATCCATCCATCTACATCCATCAATCTTTATACAATTTACTCCATCTATCCATTCTATCCATCCATCCATCATCCATCCATCCATCGCAATCCATGCCATCACATCCAGTCCATCCATCCATCCATCCATCCATCCATCCATCCATCCATCCATCCATCATCATCCATCCATCATCCATCTCATCCATCCATCCATCATCCATCCATCAGTCCAAGTCCATCTCATCGCAGTGCCAGTGCCATCGCAGTCGCGTCCATCATCCATCCATCCAATCCATCCATCTATATATCCACCCATCCATCCATCCTTCTATCCAATCTATCCATCTATCTCATCTTGAATCCATCCAAATACGAATTCATCCATCCTGCTATTTATTACATCCATCCTGCGTATCATATCCATCCATCCATCACATCCATCCTATCCTCATCCATCCATCCATACCACCAATCCATCCATCCATCCATCCACTCCATCATCCATTCATCCATCCATCCCATCCATCATCCCTTCCATCCAACCATACCATCCATCCATCCATCCATCCATCCATCCATCATCCATCCATCCATTCATCCATCCATCCATCCAGCCATCCATTCCATCCATCCATCCTCCATCCATCCATCCATCCATCCATCCATCCATCCATCCATCCATCCATCCAATCCATCCATCCATCCATCCATCCATCCATCATCCAGCCATTTATCCATCCATCATCCATCCATCCATCCATCATCCAGTCCATCCATCCATCCAATCCATCCATCATCCATCCATACACAATCCATCAATCCATCCATCCATCCAGTCCATCCATCCATCCATCCATCCATCCATAACCATCCATCCATCCATCCATCCATCCATCCATCCATCTATCACAGACCCATCCATCACATCCTTCTTATCAAGCTGAATTCCCATCTATCATCCATCCATCCATCTATTATGACCATCCTGCTAATTCATTCATCCTCCTGCTATCTATCCATCTAGTCCGATCCATCCATCCATCCATCCATCCATCCATCCATCCATCCATCCATCCATCCTACGCACTTAGGCATCCACGCATAAAGAGTGTAAGTGGATATTGCACAGTGGTAAATATTTACTAATATAATAATGGTAACAAGTAATATGGATCCCAAATAATGTATTTATCATTATATATATATATATATATATATATATATATAGATATTTATATATACCAGCCGAAACTTTCCATTATTTCTCTCGCTATATTACTCGTTATGTGCAGGCTACAACAACTATACTCACAACAATATAGCGCGCGCGGAAGACAGTGGAAAAACGATGGGAATCAGCGGGTGACTTCTCTACGGCTTGAGACTTTCCTAGTACTAGCAATTAATGGAATCACCAGGAGTGTCGTAATATATAGACACTATATATAGAACGCCTGAATAAGGAATATAGTGCACGGAGCTTCCCTGCAAAATGTAGCTTCGATGTTGATTCTTTTTTTTTTTTTTGTTTTTTTTTTTTTGTTTTTTTTTTTATTAGGGCGCCCTGTGTGCCGTAGGCCACATACCAGGATAGATCAACTAGCTAGCAAGTAATTTCCAGCACTGGACACTGATAAGCGACTGGAATCGGAAATAAATTATCACCAACACTACCCGAAGTTTTCATCGAGGATTTGTCGAGTTTTTAGCTTCATCTGACGTAGTCAGATGCAGCTTTGTAGAATTTCGCATGATTGTCTCGTCCATCCGTCCGTCAACAGATGCACAAATCTTAACGCTCGAACGTCGGTCAACAATAATTCGGACGTGGAGGGGGGGATCGGATAAGGACTCGGATGATCAATTGGGGATCAAGGGTCAAGATCAAAGATGTGTAAAACAGAGGGGGAAATATTTCCCCTTAACTTAAGGTATACGAGGAAATACAGAATTGCGGCACAAAATCTAGACGGCTCGACCTATCCTCTATAATATTCGCGTGTATAAGATTGATGGCAGGAAACCCATCACCATTGCTCAGATAATCAGACATTTCTGAGGACGTGGCTAACGAACAGAGTGAAATAAACCTTTTCTGTTTCAGCGCTGACCTACCATTTTATCACTTTATTAGAAAGCACCATGAAATGTGCCTTTACCACTGACTGTGCGAAGAAGTAAGTGATACTGATAAATCTTATTGCAACCCTCAAGAGGAGAGATAAACATGATTTCCTGAACTGCCTCAATGATTGTCACAGATGATCTCAATATTCATGCACAATCCATAATCTAAAGCCAATAAACCTGGATAGCCCAAACGGCTCACAGCACAGGAATTACGGCTCAAAAGGTCCTGGATCGAATCCCCATCAGATTTTTTATATTTACCTTTTTCTGATATTCTTTCTAGCTTTATCCATTTAACTATTTTTTTTCCAATTAACGCAAAATAATTTTACATAATTATACAACAATTTTATAACAACAAATAATTATTTGACAACATGGTTATTTTTTAATAAGGTGAGGTTAGGGTCCAAACGACACCATAGAACAGGAGTTCTGGCACCACCGCGATTCTGATATCAAAACCAATGGGGATTTGAAAAGGGATGCCAGAATTTTGCAGAAGGATTGCTGAAATGATGGTACGCAACTGCGTATCTGCATATACTGCCGGCCTAACAAAAGGTCCACTTACGCACGACTTAAAATGTTTCGTTATTATAACCGTAGCAACAAGACCTAGATGGAGCAGACGCTCTGCGGCCTTGTTAATAACTGCGAAGAGAAATGTAATAAGTATTGCCCTACAGATCGGAGACACTGCAGCATTAGCTGTAAGGGGGGCGGGGGGGGGGGGGGGGGGAGGGGGGGAGAGGGCGGGGGTCCGGGGGGGGGGGGGGGGGGGGGGGCGGGGGGGGGGGGGGCGGGGGGGGTTGGGGGGGCGGGGGGGGGGTGAGGGGGTTTTAGGATTATGGCCAGAAAAAGAACAACCAGGATGGGCTGACAGAACTGTCAATAGAACGTCTATTTAATTATTGAAACAAACGTGCTTCTGAAAGAAAAGCATTTCCCTTCATCGCGCAGTGAAAGGAAATATATAGAGAGCATCTGTTGTCAGTGTTTGATTTACGCGTAATGTCTGTCAAAATCTACTAGTATGGTTATATGACCAGTCTGTCACATACCTCAGAAGTCAACCGTGCCTAATGTCCGCTTCTACATGTTTTTAAGACGACATGTAAATGGAATTCACTGTATTGATGTGTATTGTGTGTAGGATCGGTGTGTACGTTTGCTTGGACCACGATTCAAGCAAAACTTCATTAGCCTGTCTAAGACGCTCGTGCCGTGTTACTAATACTGCAGTCTGATAAACGTTAATCATATCCACTGATGTTAATACGGCAAACTATTTATGCGGAACTGAAAGGTGCCATCGCGAAGCGCCTTGGTATGAAAAAAGGTTTGGGACATAATGGGTCAAATGGAAGCAAGCTCGTGGTATTCATAGACGTGGCTTATGGACAGGCTGGCTAGTTGCCCATTTTCTGAAATTAACGGAAAACGTTTGAGTTGCTATAAACCCAATTATCACGATTATAGGGGGGGGGCGGGCTTACAAACACACCACGCGCCCACGCACGCACGGCCACACACACATAAGTCATGCACACATACACACACACACAGCACACATCCAAACACACACACCACACGCAAACACAGCACACACACACACACACACACACACACAAACACATCACATCACACACACACACAACACACACAACAGAACACACACACACACACAACACACACACAAACAAAACACACACACACACACACACACACACACAAACACACACACACACACACACACACACACACAAATCAACACACACCACACAACACACACACACAAACAACACACACACACACACACAAACAAACACACACAGACGCACACACACACAGCACACACACACACACACAACACACACTCACACACACACACACACACACACACACAGCACACACCAGTGGGTATGTGAGCTTTCAAACATTCTGCGTCTATAATATAATAACTGACGTAGAAACGGGTCAACCCTGACAGCGGGGAAAGAAGCGAGGTGTGTATCAAAGGTCGCAGATCATGAAAGGAAGTCTCAACAACCCGCCAACAACGGCCTTCACATGGACAAGGCAGGATGGATCCACACGGGTACGGCGTAGAATGAGCATACTGACAAAAGGCTGTTACGTGATTTATTTTATTATAATTATCAATGACAAATTGTCGTTATATACCCCTGATATTATATATAATATTATATATATATATATATAATATATATATATAATAATATATTATCATATTATATTATATTTATTATTACCTATATAACTTATTATTATTTTATTTATTATTATTATTATTATTACTATTATTATTATTATTTATTTATTATATACATTTCCTAATCATTATTCGACGTATACGTAGTGAACGTGGAGATAACGTAGATGAGGATGCGAATGCTTTATACAATTGTTAGACAGGTATAAGGGGAAAAGAACACTAAGGAACAATAAGTATAAAGACCTATCAGGTGAGGTTTTTTGGCCATTCATGACATAACGCCTAGTTTGCACGTTGTTTCTAATTGGCAAGGTCATAAATGAAATGTATATGCGGGTGTTTAGCGTTTTTTTTATTACATTTGCATATATTTGCAACGTTATGATATATGTAGTTTTAATTTGGCTCGTATATGAGTTTTTTTTTATCAAGCGGCCAGATTAAATACTGCATTACAAGTAATTTGCGTTCAAAAAAGAATATATTGTTGGTGCTTCGCGTAGATGCACACATGCAGCCGATCTCTGCAATGTATTAAAAATCGTTTGCAATGCGTGAATGTAGGTGGCGCCAGCTGAACTGGAGGTCAGTGCTACAGCAATCTAGCGTGGCAGACGCGGGCCGTCATCGGCGTCCCGCGACGAGGAAGCTGGAGAACTCCCCAAGCGCTACGTCGTGCGGCAGCGACCAGAACCTCCTGCGGAGGATCTGCCCACAGCTACCTGCGAGAGCACGTGGTCCGCCGCAGAAGCCGTCTGCGAGGAGGCTCGAGTTTGTCAGCGAGATGCCCAAGTCAGCATCCGGAAAGATTCTGAGGCGGACAGCTCCCGCAGCTGAGAAAACAAGAAGCTGGCCGCGTCTGTGATGCGGTGATGTTGTTTGTACGGGCGGCATCGGGAAGAAATTCTTTTCCGCCGCCGATACAATTCTGAGAAGTAAACAAATAAGCGAAAAGTTATATTGAGGTTTGCCCCAAAGCTAAACTACATTACGCTTTTATACGTTGCATTGTCTGTAATTTTCTCTGATGCTAAAAAGATATTATCGTCGACGAAAAGTATAGTTTTTCACTTACACTGTATAATACTTTATTGTTTCACTATAATTTTAACTTAGTGCAGTAGTTGTCATGCAGTATTCGTTTACTCTTACATACACGTTAATTATGAAAATGTAAAAAAATATTATTCAAATATAATAATTCCAATTTATATAAAAACATACTGGAAAATTTGTCATAGTTTGATTTGTCATCTAAAGTGGAAATTAAATCATCGGCTAGGAGAAGTGCATTTGATAATGGTACAAAAAGACGAGAAGCTATATATACGCATGGCTTATGTGAATGAGAAATGTCTTCATTTGTGTGCTCCTAATATAACAAAAACAGGCAGCTAGATGGTTTATATATCAAGAGCGTATAATACGCTCTTGTTTATGAAATATAAGTGCTGTTCACGCCGTGTAAAACTGTTTAAAAGTCTATGGATGCATGATGGCTCAAATGGATAGAAGTTACAGGTGTGTGCGTGCTGGGTGAGGCGCGTGTGTGCGTGCGTGTGTGTGAGCGCGTGTGTGCGTGGCGTGTGTGTGAGCGCGTGTGTAGGGTCCGTGCTTGCGTGTGCTTGCGCGCTGCGCTCGTACCTGCGTGTGGTGTCGTGTGTGTGCGCGCTGTGTGTGTGTGCGTGCGTGTGCGTTGCGCTCTACGTGCGTGTGTGAGCTATGTGTGCGCGTGTGGTATGCCGTGGAGCGTATGTGTGCGTTGTGCGCGCGCGTCCGTGCGCGTCCGTGCGTACGCTGCATGTGCGCATGTGTGTGCACGGTGTCGTGTGTGCGCGCGTGGTGCGAGAATCGTGTTGTCTACAGTGGCATACTAAATGCGCGTGTTGAGTGTGCAGTAACATGGCAAAGAAGCCGCCTTGGTCACATTACGTTTCTCACCGTGACCGCTG